AGCAGGAAGGTGACATGACCAGAGTGGTCTTGTGCCCCGCAGATCCCGTTTTTTCAGTCCTACAGAAGCTAGGGCAGCTGGGAAAGCACAGATTAACCCCATCCTCCCTGGAGTCATAACTTGCTCATGCTTTGCACTGGTGCAATGATGAAATTGCCCATGCGTAGCATCCAAATCGGGTGCCTTCAAGCTGACGGTTACTCTATGTAGTTATAAAATATTTATGCGCAAGGACAACTCTTATTAAGAACAAATAGTTCAAAATACTCATAAAATATTAAATTAGAAAATATTTTTAGGAATGAAATAAGATAACGTGTTGACCGTTTGGGTACAAATTGATCCAAGTTTTGCAGTTATTGCATCTCATATTTTATATTGGTTCTCTTAGCAAAGCTTTTGATTCATTTCAAAGCCATGTATAGGTTGAGGGGAAATATAGTTTGACCTTTCCAGACTTGCTGCATTTTAATTTTTCTCATGCTTCATAATAACAGGAAAAATCCGTGAGGTGTTGTTATTTGTTATTTAGAGCATCTAACAATATGCTGGGTGCATTACAGAACCCATAAAACATAGTGTCCCGAGACAGAGAATTTACAGTATAATTTTAGACATTACAAAACCAATGAGAGCAGTAAATATTAGCGGAACAGAAAAGGGAGAATGAGGTATAGCCGCAAGATTGCCGTAACTTAAGTACACAGTGTACATATCTTAATGACACGGTTTTGTAATTTTTCTGTATCACCCCATCCTTTGGTTTCTTCTATTAGTTCCCTTCTCTCTTTGCGTCTGTATCCGATTTGAATGTCTTGTCCTTATCAGAGGTGCTTACAAACCCGTCCTCATCTATTACTGCTTTGCACTCGACTCCCTCCGTTTCACCACTGATTCGAGGCTGGATATCCCATTTGTCTACTTTTCTCTAAAACATCTCCACAGCATTTTCACCATGCCACATCCATGATGCATTAAACAAATACATCCATCCACAATAATCTCATTACACAGTCCCTTGTTAAAGGTCCTCTGAAAACAATTTAAAAAAATTGAGCTATTCCCTTTTTGCTTCTTTACAATGCATTAAAAAGGCCTGACATATATTAAGTTTATTTGCTTACTTTTTACTACAGAAAATCAGGAGTATTAAATCTGGTCGTCTTTAGTTTCCTGGGAGAGTTTCAGTATATAGTCCTGAATTTGGCCCAACCTTAATTAATGCAATTCAAATCATCCTGCCTGCAAATAATCATGACTCCAAACTGTTCATCAGTTTTTCAGAGTGGCACAAGTTTTGAATAAAACAAAATATTTACAACTGCTTGATCAAAAAACTCTTCTCTCCCTATTTTTGTGATGTCACGATTTCCCTTGGTCTTTAATCGCCAAAGATACTTACATAATATGGACAAAAAGCGATTGTATAAAATGCAAGGAAGGAAAACACAAGTTTTAAACACTGTCCTTAAGCTCTTATACATTATAAGGATGAAAACAAAATCCAGTTTTTCCTTTAAAATCCACCTCTTCCTCAAATGTTGTAAGAAATGAATCAACATCAACAGTATTTATATACATTTATTTAAGTAGCACACTGCTTAACTGAGGTGCACATATATCATACCTGAATAACTAACAGTTGTTTGAAAAATGAGGTGTCCCATGTGTGAGGAGCAGCAATGAAAGCAAACACAAAGAGACTGATATGAAAGTGTGACAAGTGGGTGATGATGACTGGCATCACTGGCAGAGTGCAGGCCAAAGCTGACATCTTCACAGTGTATGAGAGATAAGAGGATAGGAATAGGTTGTGAAGGGCCTGGAAAGCAAAGTTTAATTTTAAATTGCATTTAAAAAATGCAAATCTTAAAATTGCATTTTATGTACAATGGGTGTATCTACACAAGACGTTTCAAACGCAGTAGACTACTTCTGCTATGCATTAGGACAGTAGGCAAACCCAATGTTAGTGCAGTAATGCACAGTAGGTTTGGTCTACTGTGCATTAATGTCACAAAAAGACCATTTGTTTGCATTAATGTGCAGTAGTGTCGATTATGGCGCATTATGTTCATACCTATTATTACAGGTACTAAACTTAAAGTGCTGTAATTATGGCACATTAATGAACATGTAGATGTGCCCAGTAGGTGCTCCATGTGCTTTAGGAGTACTG